GTCACTTTAAAAACCACCAATACAGTCACACTGGAGAGAAACCATACAGCTGTGACCAGTGTGGGAAAACTTTTGCTATTCTTTATTACTTAAAAAATCATCAGCGCATTCACACAGGAGAGAGACGGCACAGCTGTGTTGAATGCGGAATGGCTTTCACAAGGCGAACTGACCTTAATCGTCACCAGCGCATTCACTCTGGAGAGAAACCATACCGATGTGACCTCTGTGGGAAAAATTTTGCCCGGTTGAGTGCCTTCCACGTCCACCGACGTACTCACACAGGAGAGAAACCGTACTGGTGTGACAAATGTGGGAAAACATTCACCTCATCAAGTGGACTTCGGGTGCACCAACGTGTTCATACCGGAGAGAAACCATACAGCTGCAACCAGTGCGGGAAAGCTGTCTCCTCTAAAGGGAGCCTAGAAGTCCACCGACGTAGTCACACTGGAGAGAAACCCTTCTGGTGTGACGAATGTGGGGAAACTTTTACCTCATCAAGTGGACTTAGAGTACACCAACGTGTTCATGCTGAAGAGAAAGAGAAAGAGAAAACACTCCGCCATCCAGAGACAGCATTAGCCACTGACGGCCAAGGCAATCTTTGAGTTAATCTTTGGCTGCTGCTCTCAGATCTCCACAGAGGAGAGTTGTGGGTCCAGCAAACAGCAGCAAAGACCCTCTGCTCTGAATGTGACCTGCTCCCAGCAGACACAAAAACTGAAGACACCTGAGAAGTCAGTGCACCATCTAACTTTTCAAGCTAAGGAGAACCAAGCTGAGTCAGCTCTAAACTGCCAATTCTGTATGGATACAGAGCGAACCGATTCCTTTACATCGTTGGAACACACCACAGCGAAGACTTCACTGGAACCCCCTTCTTCTAAAGCCAGGTTCATCCACAACGGACAACTGCCGGCTAACAAGTCGTGAGTCAGGAACATATACGTTGAGGTAAATCCTCTCAGGCACTGTCTCTCACAACAGACAAATATCTCTACAGAATATTAAAGAGATAAAAAGGAAACTGGCTGAAACCAGCTGTGTCACAGACGATCGAATGGAAGGAGTGAGTGAACAGTGAATAACACTGATCATTTTTTTACAGAGTAACGTTCTTCTGACGAACCTTGGCTCCTGGAATTCACGTGGATACCACCTGAAACAACACCATCCATCCAAACACCATTACAGACCAAGTACTCCCCACTCCCTGATGGCAGTGGCCCCCCAGCAGGATAATGCACCATGCCACACCACAAAAACTGCTCAGGACTGACCTGGGGTATGTTACTTAGAGCTCAACCTGGCCTCCAAATTCCCCACATCCCAATCTGATGGAACATTCATTGGGCAAGCCGGTACCTCACCTCGCAACCCACAGGACTCAAAGGATCCGTCGACAACACCTTGGTGCCAGACAACACAGGACACCCCCAGAGCTAGTGATGGCCAAATGAGGCCTCGTGAACCACTGTCTTTATTTTCTGAAGCCACTGGATGGCGCTGTCTGTTCAACAAAGGTTTGAAAGCACACCTCATTGCCTTTCCTTCAACCTTTATCTTTAAAACAAGAGCGCCATCTGGTGGAGTCAGAAAATAAAGAAAATGGTTCATGAGGCTTCACTTGACCATCACAACCCAGAGGTCCTGTCTCAGTGCCTTGACAGGTCAGAGGCCTCATCATAGGTCGGACTCGGCTCTGACCTGTTGTGGCCTGAACAAAGGATGTCTGGGGTACCGGTTTGAACCAAAGATGCTCGATCAGATCAGGATCTGGAGAATTTGAAAGCCAGGTTGACGCCTTGAGCTCATCGTCACGTTCCTTGGACCATTCCTGAGCAGTGTTTGCAGTGTGGCATGGTGCACTGTCCTGCTGGGGGGCAACTGTCATCACTATTGTAATCAGTGGGGGTACTTGGTCTATAACAGTGTTTATGTGGATGCGTAAAGGGGCAATAAACTCAATAAACTTTTTTATATCCGACCTAAAACAGACTCGCGTGAACTGGTTAAGGTTAAAAATCAAACACAAGGTTTCAAGAGGTGTGAGAGAACTTATCTGACAGGCGCAGCAAAGAAGTCCAGAGGTGCATCCAAACAGGTTTCAGACTCACACACAGAGTCCCTTCATCCCAGCTGCTCCAGGGATCACACTCCTCACAGGAAGCTTTGTCATCCAGAACGTTCACGCCGTCCAGCTGATCCTCGTTTTAACTTCTGCTCACTTTACTTTTAATTTTATGTTTCTCTTTAAGGTTTTTGAGCAAATAATGGAGTAAACTTTGATGTTCTGCTCCTTGAGTCACTCTCACTCCTCTTTGTTCTCCTTCATGCAGCTTGTTGATTGACTTCCCTTCGCCCGCTCACAGGTGTGCCGGATTTATCTCCTCCCACTCTCCACCTTCCTCTCCTGTCAGTGGCCTGTACTGCAAGAGTTAGTGAGGCAACTTCACATAATTTTAACTTATGGAAAGTTTGTTTGAGTCCTTTTAGTTTCACACTGATTCATCACTGCAGCTCAGAATAACATGAGACACCTGTGTGATGAGAACCAGGATAAAACAGATCATATTTTATTAGTAAAATAATCCACACACTGTTAATCAGCTCCGCCTTTAAAGTGTTTTACGGGACATATTCAGAGGAGTTTCATCATCATCCAATAGTCATATGATACGAAGCAGTCTACGTCATTCATGGTTCTGATGATTCTGGGGCTTGATGCCATTTTATTTCAACATCACACACAATAACAATAAAATAACAAAAAAAAGTTAGAACATTGTGAAGGAGAGGTTGGAAACCAAAAAGGCTTATAAAGAATACCTCCCCTGTAAAGCTAACAAACTTCAAGGTGTCAAGGCTAAGTAGTAATATAAAACTGATATACAGAAATTAATGTATACACGTTGTGATGCATTACAATGGGGTAAAAAAAAAAAGAAGAAATCATTTTTAAAAAAGTTAAAAAAAAAAAAGTTAAAAAAAATCTTTAAAAGAAATCTTTAAAAAAAATAATTTTAAAATATCTTAAAAAATAATTTAAAAAAATCTTTTTTAAAAAATATTTTAAAGAATTAATGAAAAAAAATCTTAACATATATCAGTGACTTCCTTTCAGCTGCAGCCGCCAAGATATACTTCTTCTCAGTGGTCTCCTCCCATGACACCACTGAAACATCATACAAACAAGCACCCAAAACATTGGACAAGACACCTTTCAGATTTCATCTCTGCCACAGTCTGAAGAATATAAACTACTGAGCCTTGAAACCTCATCATGTATAAAAACATTTGTCTTGTATGATGATGATGATGCAGGGTTCAGCACCTCCTCACTGACTTGGTCAATCCATGTGAAATTTGGCACAGTGGTAGAGGGTCATGGGAGGATGTCAATGAAGCAATATTACATCAATTGGCCAAAGGGGGGCGCTATAGCAACTGATTGAAATGTTAAACTTTGAATGGGCATATCTCATGCCCCGTATGTTGTAGAGACATGAAACTTTGCACAGAGATGCCTCTCCTCATGAGGAACACATTTGCCTCAAGAACCCATAACTTCCGCTTATATAGATTTTCCGCCATTTTGAATTTTTTGATAAACACTTCAAATGGATATCTTCCTAGGAAGTTTGAGTGATCTGCATGAAACTGGGTGAACATAATCTAGGGACCAATATCTAAAGTTCCCTCTTGGCAAAAGTTGGAAAACTTACTAAAACTGAGCTTCTATAAGGCAATGAATATTGCGGAGGGCGTGGCTCATCACATAAAGGTGTAAAACATCTCAAGGGTTTCACCCATCACCACGCAACTTTGTAGGCATATGACCACACATAATCTGAGGGGACCCCTCCATTATTGAACCCATCAAACAAAATGGGGGCGCTAGAGAGCTCATTTCTTATCTAGGCCTAACCGCCATATGGATTTTTACTAAACTTGGTAGATATGTAGAACAGGACGCCTCAAGGTGACTGGAGAAATTTAACTCTAATTGGCAACTGGGTGGAGCTATAACAACAGAAAAATGCTTCAAAATGGCTAAAATGCAACCGATAGCTGTGGCTCCCCCTGTGGACCAATGTTGGTGTTGTTTTCTAATGTTTGGTATGACTAAGTCATGGTATGGTATGCTGTACATAATCACGGAAACTGTCAGTGTGTCATTCTGTCAGTCAGTCATTCTGTCTGTCCTACGTTTTTCAAACACTCTGTCTGAATACATTGCTCTTCTTAATGGGCTCAGTTGACTATTTAATCTGCAGTTTCCTATGACCTGTATCTCAAACACACACCATGTGCAACTGTATGTGGGCAACTGTGCACTCAATGGGTATGGACTAGTTAAAGTTTAATGCCGAGACATGACTTGTTGACACGCAGAGATGTGAACACTGACACAGCTAATATTTCACTGTAACATGTGATGGTGGATTTTATGTGTAGCTTATATGTGATGTGATTTTTGCTTTAATGCAGTATGTTTACATGCTGTATTTTATTGTTTGTTACAGCTGGTGAAGGGACGGCTAATGAAAACTAGCCTTTCAGCTAATTTGGGTGCATTTTTACATTTGTTAAAGTCTTGATTGATGCACAGTGTCCCTTTCCTTTAATAAATAAATAAATAAATAAATAAAATCACTGCCTCACATGAACATGGGAAACTTCCAAAGATTATGAGCTTCAGTTTGAGCCGAAGGTGACCTTACACTTGTTTTAGCCTAAATTTGTCCTGTAGTATATATCACAGAAAGTTGAATATTCAGTCACGAGCCTGTCAGTGACGTCACCCCGGAAGTGATGAGCTGTCAGAAATGTACTGTTAGAAACTTGTGTTTGTAAATTAGCATAATTAGCATCATTAGCATTGAATGAGACACAAACCACATCCTGAGGTTCACTCCTGACCGTTGCCTTAGCAACAGTAACCCCGAGTGACCGCGAGACGCTGTGACATCGCGAGAACACAGCTGCTGGCTCTCAGAGACCAGGAGGAGCAGGAGGAGCAGTAGAGGAGCGGAATGGAGGAGGACAAGCAGAACCCGGAGCACCGGAGCAACAAGGTCCGGAGAAGACAAGCAGCAGGCTCGTCCTCTGATAGCAGCGATGTTGAGGTGAGTGTTGATGACGTCATGGATAAAAAGGGCTTGACAGCAGCCACACTAAAGACACGAGGAAGAGTCTCGAGGCTCCGTGGATCATCCGCTCATTCTCTGGTTCCACATCACATCTGGAGAAAGGAAACCCGTCAGCACCAAATCATCCAGAGGTTTGCTGCTGACGGGTTTTAACGTCTTTGTTCTCGGAGGTGAGCTGCGGCTGATTGGAGCTCGGACCTGGACTGACTCGTCTCGCGATGGCGGAAGTAGTATTAGCATTAGCATTAGCATCCTGCTGCTGCAGAGGTGGATCAATAGAAATATAAAGCCGTCTGTCACAGGATGGAGACACTGGTGACTCTTCACAGAGCAGGTTGACACTGCAGGTTTTTCTGTTGAGTCAAAAGCTTCTTCATTAAATCAGAAAAACAACAAACTTATTCAGTTAATAAATAAAGTGTAAATAACTAAACAGCAGCTCTCAGCTTCTCCTCCACGGCCCTCAAACACTCCCTCAGTGTGTGTTTAGACCTGCTGTGTGTTCTGTGTTTAGCTGAATCATAATTACAGTAATCTGGGTGTTTGCTGACTGAAGCAGTGTGTAGTTAAAGGCTCAGTTCAGGGGCCTCAGTCACAGACACCAGGAGCCATGAAGGAGGTCACTGTGTCTGTGTCACAGAGAGCACATCGCTCCTTCATGTCCTGCACACATTTAAACTACTTAAAGGGAGACGTCTGTGTTTTTCAGCCTGGACCCTGTTCTCTCATGTCTTTGTGTCCACGTGATGAATGGCCGTAACAGTTTTTGACACTGGTCCCGTATTGAGTGAGACAGGCTGCAGTGTCACCACATGGGGCAACTGTGCATCGTCAACATACGTCCACTGTGAGTGTTTGATTCGTCACTGACAGGCTCAGTTAGAGGTGTGCCACGTCACATCATTCATAATACCGGTGTCATTTCTAACATGATATAAAAATGTAATAGTGTGATTTCGGCTTGTTGACATATTGACGTCATGCTGTTACCCACGGCAACAACAAGCATGGCTGAAAGGGAAATGATGACCTCTGTGGTTCCAAAAAGAGGAGCAGCTTCAACAGTGTGGGATAAACTGTGGCGTCTGCTCAGAGGGAACTCAGTCAGCGTCTCTCCCTCTCCTCTCTGATTCTGTCGCAAACCTTTGGTGATGTAAACCTACATGAATAAACTCCATATATGTGAGTGTATCATAACAGCCTGATGGTTAGAGATGATTTATACACATATAGATCCCAGGGGACATTTTGTTTAAATGTGTAATTAGTGGTCGATTTGATTTAGTTGAACTATTAATATTGTGACAGAATCTGAATCTCACTCTGAGTTACTGTTGTTCACAAACACATGAGAGATCATTTTAGTTTTTACTTAAGATTTGAAGCCAACTGTGAAACGACATCACTGATTTAGTTGATATTCTATGTTCTTAAAGGGAAATTTCAGTTTATTTCAACCTGTCTCCTATCGTCCTAAATTTGTTTCAAGTCACTAGTGACATAGAAATAATAGTTAGCATGTTAGCCGTTAGCCTAGATACACCTGGGGCGCATAGTAGCGTCAGACCTGTTAAAACGTAAGTGAACAGGCAACCTTTAAGTGCAAAGTTAGTCCACTAAACAAGCTTTGTTTCCACAAAGACCGCCTCATATCGTTAGGATACATGTCAGAGAACATATAGAAAACGACATGTAAACGTGTTGTCTTACCTTACCGCTGTGCTGCCATGTTTGTTTACCATTTAGCTCTGCTTTCCAAAGTGCGGCCGAAATATCGCGTGAACAAGCAGCGATCTCATACCGTGCCTGAAATCTCGCGAGAACAAGCAGCAACAGCTGGAAGGCAGAACCGGACAGTAGCCAGAAAAGTTCATTCATTTATTTTATGAAAGATTTATAGAATAATGGCTGACTTTTTGCCAGACTTTGACTTTGTGGAGGAGGAATTTGATTTTGCAGAGTTTGATGGCCGCCCTTATTTATTTGAGCCAGAATACACTGACGAAGAGCTTCGTGAAATTGAAGAACGGAGGAGGAGAGAGAGAGAGACGCAACAGGTAGAGGACGAGAGAGGAGGAATGGCTGCTGCAAGGCTGCGTAGCTCTGGAGATTGGTGGTGTACCTGTGAATGCTGTGCCCCAGTGCCCACAGAAGAGGAATGCCTCTGTTGCAAGGAATGGGACCGGTTGCAGCCTTATTTTCAAGGTCTGGATGTGACCGAGGACGAGACACCTCCACCTGGAGTAGTATCCAGCTGGGCTTTATCTAGAGCTCGCGAGATATATTTCGGCCGCGCTTTGGAAAGCAGAGCTAGATGGTAAACAAACATGGCAGCACACCGGTAAGGTAAGACAACACGTTTACATGTCGTTTTCTATATGTTCTCTGACATTTATCCTAACGATATGAGGCGGTCTTTGTGGAAAAAAAGCTTGTTTAGTGGACTAACTTTGCACTTGAAGGTTGCCCGTTCACTTACGTTTTAACAGGTCTGACGCTACTATGCGCCCCGGCTGTATCTAGGCTAACGGCTAACATGCTAACTATTATTTTTATGTCACTAGTCACTTGAAACAAATTTAGGACGATAGGAGACAGGTTGAAATAAACCGAAATTTCCCTTTAAAGAAATAATGAATTCTTTTTTTTACTTGTCATATCATCAAGAATGTTTGTATCACAAAAACACCCTGAAATATCGTGATGTTATTTTAAGGCCATATCGTCCACCCCTAATGACAACATTACAGAGAGGATCCCTGCAGAGATAGACCTTTGTGTTGAAGAGTAAGATCTCTAAATAAAAAAATTCATTTCATATCTTGACCAAACTAAAGCTGGTCATTTTTGGAGCAGTGGATGGACCAACATCCTGTGGTCTGTGGTCGGTTGTCACTCAGCCGACATACAAATTTCTTTCAGATAAATGGTGATTTTAACAGTCTGTTTGTTCAATTAGATTTTTTTTTTTACACAATAGTCACAATGTAAAATATAACTGACACCACCATTACATTAACATCTGAGGCCAGCCTCCTGACCGTCCCAAGAGTCAGAACAAAACATGCTGAAGCAGCACAATCCTGGAATAACCTCCTAGATGATGTTAGACAGCAGCGACTCCTAACACTTTAAGTCAAAGCTAAAGACATTACTTCTTCACACAGCCTGCTCCACCCTGTAATGACTGCAAACTTGGTTTTAAACTCCATTTAAAATCATTTGACCTTTTATATCTTTTTACTCTTTTATTTTAAATCTGGATCGTTTATTATATTTTATATTTTATTGCTCTGTAAAGCACCCTCCACTGCACTAAAAATATGGCCCATAATCAGAGATGTTCACCAGTTTGTGCTCTAATTCTGCCATCTAGTGGGCTTTTAGGAGAACACACCACATTATTCACTGAATCAGCTGACTAGTATGATGTTGTATTAAAGCTACATTTGTTCTCAATAATTAACAGATAACCTACAAAACACAAAAATGTTAATAATGTCACAATTCAGTATTATGTCTTAAACCCAGTTCAACCAATATTTCTTAATCTCAGTCCGTACAAGTTAGTTTTGCCTCAGCAAAGAAGCCCAGACAGTCCTCTCCTCAGCCACTTCCGTCAGCTCTTCCACGGGAACCCCGAGGCATTCCCAGGCCAGCCAGGAGATGTAATCCCTCCAGCGTGTCCTGGGGCGGCCCCGAGGTCTCCTCCCGGTTGGACATGCCCAGAAGGCATCCTTACCAGATGCCCGGACCACCTCAAATGGCTCCTCTTGATGTGGAGGAGCAGCGGCTCTACTCCGAGTCCCTCCCAGATGTCTGAGCTCCTCACCCTATCTCTAAGGCTGAGCCCAGCCACCCTGCGGAGGAAACTCATTTCGGCCGCTTGTACTCGCGATCTCGTTCTTTCGGTCACTACCCAGAGCTAGTGGGGTTGGAATGTAGATCGACTGGTAAGTCGAGAGCTTCGCTTTTTGGCTAAGCTCCCTCTTCACCACAACGGACCGGTTAAGCGCCTGCATCACTGCTGACGCCGCCCCAATCCGCCTGTCAATCTCCCGCTCCATCCTACCCTCACTCGTGAACAAGATCCCGAGATACTTAAACTCCTCCACCTGATTCTCATCCCAGCTGCTTCACACTCGGCTGCGAACCGTCCCAGCAAGAGCTGGAGGTCACTGTTCTATGGAGCTAGGAGGACCACGTCATCCGCAAAAAGTGGGGACGAGATCCTCCCGTCACCGAACCTGACACCCTCCACCACTTGGCTGCGCCTAAAAATTCTGTCCATGAAAGTTATAAACAGAACCGGTGACAAAGGGCAGCCCTGGCGGAGTCCAACCCTCACCGGGAACAGGTCCGACTTACTGCCGGCCACGCGAACCAGACTCATGCTCCTTCGGTACAGGGACTGGATGGCCCTTAGCAAGGGGCCACCAACCCATAAATTTTTTTTAAAATGCGAATATTCTGGCTGAACTATTGTTGTCGGTGAGATCAGTATGTTATATGAACATTAATCCATAGTCTCTGTGACATATTAGGATGATTTTACGACTGTTGGTTTTAGATTTCTTACATATAGCTCCTTTAAATATTGACTATAGCGGTGCCTCTCAGAGGAGTTTTGTAGCTGATTTCAAGCTGGTACTTAAAACATAATCTGATCCCGACCAGGTCAGGTCTGCTGCATCAGTTACCATGGTGATATGGCCAGGTTTAAACAGAGCCAAATCTCTATTAATAAGAAAGCTCGTTTTACTGTAATAATGACGTAAAACAACCTCTTATTTTCTGGCAATAACAGGTTGATTATTTCATTATTACAAGATAACAAAGCTCGTTGTTCCCACGTTGTTGTGAGATAAGAAGATAATCAACTTTTGATCTTGAGATAACTGCGTTAAAATGAATAACTGAAAGCAAGGCCGTCCTCTGCTTCTGTGGTTTATGTTCCACAGACATGCTTTAAATGTTATTTATGGTTTTAGATAACTTTCTCCTCCATGACATCTCACTTTTTAGTTTTTATTTAACCTTTATTTAACCAGGAAAATCACTTGAGAGTAAAAATCTCTTTTTCAAGAGTGACACAAAAATACAGAATAAAAACATACAGCTCTAAAATAAACAATATAGAACACATTACAAAGAAAGGCCCAAAATTATATTAACGTATACTAGGAATGTACGCAAAGAATGAACGCCCTTTTTTGCAAATGCAAATAAGGACAACTAAACATGATTACAAGGACCAGCTTAGATACACTGTGACATTGGCATATAGATGATTGTGTACAAAAAAATCCTGCAGCCAGCCTGAGTGTACAGGATACAGTGATGAGTTAGTGGCTTACTGTTGGTAATAAATCTCAGTACACCATGGTACAGACAGAGTTCAGAGCATGCAAATAATGGGAGGGTGCATTCATATATAATATATCCCCATGATCAAGCACAGTCAAGAATGTGTCGTTTTTTTTGGCAATGAAAGAGAAGCAGATCGTATTTCTAAAATTAAAAAAAACAGTTTCAGCCTTTTTCACGAGTAGTTCAATGTGTGGCTTGGTGACTGTCTGTCGTCTAACACAGCACCCAGGTATTTATCAGATCAAACGCACTCTCTGCTCTTGTTCTGAAGTGGAACAATAGTCAGGAGATTTGAAAGCTCAGCCTCAGATTTTTCTGAATAACATGCACTTTGTTTTGTCAGCATTCAGGATGAGCTTCAGATAAAACAGGAACTGCTGAACAGCATTGAAAGCTAGCTGAAGCTGGGTGGGGGCCTGAGTCTGAGTAGCAGCTGTGCAATAAATAAATGTGTCATCAGCGTACAGATGAACACATGCAACACATATTTTATGGCAGAGGCCATTTAACTAAACAGAGAACAACAGAGGCCCTAATACTGAACCTTGAGGCACTCCACTGGCAACTGTAAGAGGGCAGACAACATGCCCTCTGCTTGTGCATATTGCACTCTGTCTGATAAATAATTGCAAACCAACCAACTGCTTTGTCTGATAGACCACTATGATGTAATCTTACTCTTTCTCTTTATGTCTGTCTGTTGCCATAGAAACGGAGAGGAAGGACCAATCTCAAATGTCACCACTGTCAGCACTGTGACAAATCCTTCACATCATCTGGATATCTAAGGATCCATCAGAGAGTTCACACCGGAGAGAAACTACATAGCTGTGTCCACTGTGGGAAAACGTTCACTCAGTCCCATCAGTTAAACACCCATCAACGCATTCACACAGGAGAGAAACCCTACACCTGCGACCAGTGTGGGAATGCTTTCACGCAGTTAAGCACTTTAAAGGCTCACCAGCACATTCACACTGGAGAGAAACCTTTCCGTTGTGACCTTTGCGAGAAAGCCTTTACCACACGAGGGAAACTGGAAGTCCACCAACATGTTCACACGGGAATCAAACCGTACAGGTGTGATCTATGTGGGCTGACATTCACACAATTAGGGCACTTAAAATCCCATCGACGTATTCACACTGGAGAGAAACCGTATAGGTGTGACCTCTGTGGGAACGCTTTCGCCCGGAGGAGTGCCTTACAAGTCCACCGACGTATTCATAGTGGAGAGAAACCATACAGCTGTGACCAGTGTGAGAGTGCTTTCACTACATCAAGCTATCTGAAAATACATCAACGTATTCACAACGGAGTGAGACCTTATAGCTGTGACCAGTGTGAGAAAGCTTTTGTCACTCAAGATAAACTAGTAATTCACCAACGTGTTCACACTGGAGAGAAACCTTACGGGTGTGATATATGTAAGAAACCTTTTGCTACCTTGGGTGAGCTTAAAATTCATCAACGTATTCACAGTGGAGAGAAACCATACTGGTGTGACCAATGTGGAAAAAGTTTCCCTCAGAGTAGTAGACTCAGAGCTCACCAACGCACTCACACAGGAGAGAAACCATACAACTGTGACCAATGTGAAAAAGGTTTCACCACTCCTGGAAGCCTAGAAACCCACCGACGTGTCCACACTGGTGACAAACCGTACTGGTGTGACCAGTGTGGGAAGACTTTTTCTCAGAGTAGTCACCTGAAAGCACACCAAGACATCCACACCTGCTCCCCTCTCCCTAAAGTCCTGCCTTCGCCACAAACTATGTAGCCACGATGATAAAATATTTTTATTTTGTAAAGGCCAACAATGCAGCACGCCCTCCATCACAGCTTGTAGTAGCTCTGTGGGGCTGGCTCTGTAGGGCCGGCTCTGTAGGACTGGCTCTGTAGGGCCGGCTCTGTAGGGCTGGCTCTGTAGGGCTGGCTCTTTGGGACTGGCTCTTTAGGACTGTCTGTGTTGGGCTAGTTGTGTGGGGCTGACTCTTTAAGACTGGCTCCGTGCTACTGGCTCTGTATGGCTGGCTCTTTGGGACTGGCTCGTTAGGACTGTCTGTGTTGGGCTGACTCTTTAGGACTGGCTCTGTGGGGCTATGTCTGTAGGGCTGGCTCTGTGGGGCTATGTCTGTAGGGCTGGCTCTGTTGGGCTATGTCTGTGGGGCTGGCTCTGTTGGGATATGTCTGTGGGGCTGGCTCTGTTGGAATAAATCTGTGGGGCTGGCTCTGTTGGGCTATGTCTGTGGGGCTGGCTCTGAGGGGCTGGCTCTGTAGGACTGGCTCTGTTGGGCTATGTCTGTGGGGCTGGCTCTGTAGGACTGGCTCTTCAGGACTGGCTCCAGGCTGACTGAAGGCTGAACACCACTGGTGCCCTGCCCTGATTTATCTGTAACTCTTTTTTTTTTATCTTAAAACACTGACAAACCAAAGCGTGTTTAATGCATGTATTATTAAAGTATCACCACAAAGAACCAAATGAACCCTGCAGCAGTGTAAATATGTTAAAACCAGGAGCCTGGATGATTAAAGGTTTAACCTGTGTCCGGCTCAGAGACACAAGTGGTGCGTCACCTGCCATCTGTTACAGCTGAAATGGAAGCAGACCTGATACACGTGGCCCCGGGGCTCTTTGGTCTGGGTCAGTTATGAGCTTTTGCATGAATATTATAACAATATCAATATTATGTGAAATAAAGGACAATATTATTAATATGAAGACTATATGTTGGTTCATATCATAGATGTATAAATTAAAAATTCCACTGTAACACTGTTGACTGCAGCAGTGTTTTCTTTCCATGCTGCCTTGTTACGACTTCCTTTAATGACACTTTTCAGGCTGACAAACAGAAGCAGTTGGTTAAATTGGAACTGGGACGTCAGTGTTTCAATTTCTAGCTCAGAGAAGTTTCTTTTCTTGGCTGTATTACGTCTCTTCATGTCATAATCTCTCGGGTGAGGCCTCTAAACCCTGAATATATTTAGACGGGATGTTTAAGTGACGATTGTGACAAGAACATTTCATTAATCACATATCATTAGATGATTTCCGTGTTCAGATCTGTGATGGTTTGTGCGTTAGAATGATAAATGAGCGCCAGTGTGGTGTAATGATTCCTGATCCACTTAGATTTTCACTTTCTAAAAAACAGTAATAATAATTATGGCACTATTATTATCATTTTGGAAAGTATTTATTCCCCAAAGTACCAATTTGAAGTTTATCAAGTTTTTGTTGCACTCAATTTTTGATTTTATTCCTGTAATTAAAATGTTTAAAGTCAATCACTATTTAATCAACGCCACATATAAGTATTTTTTTCTTTTTACTATCCATTAATCATAAGTATATAGTTTATTACAGTATAATCTTAAGTATTTTCTTATTTGATAATTGCTTGGTAAGACGAAAGCAAAGTCGATTCTAGTCGAAGCAAAGACGCTGATTCGTCAACGATGGCGCCAGCTGAGGTGAAGACACTTCAGCTCCATGCCGCTCCTCCTCTCCATCACTGCTCTGCCTCCCTGGTGTTGTTTCTGGAGGTGAAATTCATTCTTTGGTTTCACTGTAACGCCTGTTTACATCCTGATCTGTCAGTGAATGTGGTTGTTGAACTTGCTTCCTGTCAGGACCACTGAGCTGTTTTTAATGTTCTCATTAAACGAGTCGACACAAAAAGATGCTTTGACTCATCATTTGAAACAGTTTCCGTCAGTCAGTTGAGCTGTTGTGATCGACCTCCTGAAAGACTCAATCCAAAAGTCTCATTATTATTTATTATGGGAAGACTGAAGCTGTGTGTGAACATCTACTGTGGCTCCACATCTGCATGCACAGTGGGGCTCTGATAAGGGAGTCAACACAGAGGCAGGAAGACGTCACCCAGTTTAACAAGACTTCAACGTTTGAAATCTCGCTTGGTGCTCACTGAAAAGTGTGTGATTAGAGACACATGATGCATTCACTGTCCCACCTGTGTAACACATGAACCAGAGTCAACACCGCCCTCTGCTGGACTCAGACTCACACTGCTTCTACTGCAGTGATGGCCAAATGAGGCCTTGTGAACCACTGTCTTTATTTTCTGAAGCCACTGGATGGCGATGTCTGTTCAACAACGGTTTGAGTCTTATCTTTGAACCAAGAGCGCCATCTGGTGGAGTCAGAAAATAAAGAAAAGGGTTCATGAGGCGTCATTTGACCATCCCGACCTCCATGTACACCTCTGTCAACCAGCCATCAGGGCTCAGTGCACAGTTCCACTCAGACGTCCCCAAACTGTCCTCTGGGTTCAGTCAGATCACTTTAAAGGATAACTTAGGTATTTTTCAACCTGGGCCCTATTTCCCCATGTGTATGTGTGCGTATGATTCATAGGTACAACTCGTTCTAAAATTGGTTCAGTATTGAGGGAGGAGGATGCAGCAGGCAGCCACGAAACGAGCTAAAACGGTAACGGGGGCAAATGCGTCCCGTATAAGTTTGCGCATTAAAAGTGCTTTTTGTTCTCCACTGACCGGTTCAGATGGCCAGTGCTGTCTCTGTAAATAGCATACTAAGCGTTTCCCTGACCCTTCACCTCCTCCTGGCTGTGACGTCATCTCGTGAGAGCTTTGCTTGTTGCTGGAAGAAAACACAGGAGCCATGCTGAGCGCCGCTCAGAGTGGCGCTGGTTGTCCTGGAGTACAGTTGAGAGTTTTACTGCATCGATTGAAAACAATGGTTCGTGTTTGTGCTTATCCGAATTGCAAGAACAGGATGTCAAGCAACACCCTGTACAGCTTTCACAGGCTGCCTTTGTTGTGGCTAGCAACACAACTCCACCTAATGGAGGCTGACGGTGCCCCAGATTAAAACATCCAAAAACACATAATTGAAACCACAAAATATCTCCATACTGCTCGTCGTAGTGATCCAAGTGTCCTGAAGCCCCGACATAAAAAGTTGTTTGGAAAAACGTCAGATAAACTCTGTTTTTAGCCTCATTGTAGCCTGTAGCTCTGACTGCCTCTCTGGGCACCACGCTCATATGTGTGCGCTTGCGCGAGACCGTGAGACATGGGCACCGCCTTCATGTGTGTTCACATGCTTTTGCTGGTCTGGTCAGCCTCCATTAGGTGGAGTTGTGTTGCTACCTCCTCTCCCCTTGGATCTCTGCAAGGGATGTGAGGACTCTAAAACTTCACCTGAGCCTCCCTCGGCATATGGGTGAGTAGATAATGGCTGAATTTACATTTTTGGGTGCACTATGCCTTTAAGACAGACTTATCAAAATAACCCAGGCTAATCCACCTTGATGGGATACCCCTCAGGTTGTTGTTGCTCAGTGATACAACTGCTTTCTGCTGCCACACCAACAGTGTGTATGACCACACCTGGGTGCCCAGATGTGCACAAGAACATTTGCTACTTACACTATCGTGGCTGTGAAAACTGCGACAACTGCATCGATCTGAAACTGGCACTCTGCGCTGTGTGTCGTCGTCTTGCACCAGGTGTAATGATTCCTAAAGCAGGTGTAGTGTTGGGTTAAAACTTGGCTTTGCATCAGGAGGATCATTCACATATCTACCACCACACCAGTCCAACCAGTGAATCCAGCTGGCCTGTCACTGGTCCCCACAGCCCCTAACACCTCAGGACATTCATGGGATTTATTTCTTATTTCTATATGTGAAAGTTAAATGAGACTGGTGCAGCTACAGAGAGACAAACAGCTTCACTTTACACATTATTGTTTTACTTTTCTTTGGATAAATAACTTGTTAAATACTTATTTGTTTAGGTGGTAGTGTTTCAGTAGGGTGAAGAACACCGACATGTTTCTACTGAACAGAAGCTGCTGATAATAATGAACTTTACTGCTCTGATATTGATATCAAGTGGTGTCTCTGCAGTGTGTAAAGTTTCTTTAAGAAGTTTGAACATCAGAAATCATCAGGTCCTGTTTTTCATGTGAGACTCAAACAAGCAGCAACATGACAAAGTGATCACCTGCATCAGGTCGCCACATTTAAAGGTCAGGTTCAGGTGTCAGAGAAGCAGCATCGGGCACTGAGTGCACATCAGACATTAAAGACATCTGCTGCTGTCACACATTTATTGATCGATCAGCTTTTTCAAACACACACTGAACTCATATGTGTCGCTCTGCAGCCTGCAGGACTTCTCTCAACTTAATGTTCTGCCCCCTGCTGGTGTTGAGTAGTACTGCAGCTCCACTGTCTCAGTCACTCACTGATCAATCAATCAATCAATCAATCAATGTCAGCTGATCAGTTGTGTCCATGTTCTGTGTGACCTGCCGTCTCCATGGTGATGACCACCTCAACATGTGAACCAACAGAGATCACAGAGAGCGTGTTGTTGTTCTCACCTGTGTGATGTCACACTGTGAGCCTGCTACACCTGAACAGGAGGATCATCCAGCAGGAGCATGTCAGCCTCAATCAGCACACACACACACCTGTTGGTGACATCACATCACAGGTGTGTTTGATCAGTGTCACTTTAGCGTGTCTGACAGGAGGTGCATTCAATGACTGATTAATAAATGCAGATGTTTCCTTTTCTCTCCTCAACATTAAACACAATGACTCCTGAGACTGTCAGTGATATCAGAGACAGACAGCAGGTGGCAGCACAGCACTTGTTGTTTCGTCACTTTGTCCTACAGAGGATCAGTTTACTGGCAGGGGCTGAATTTACAGGAAATACAAACAGGAAGTTCACAGCAAAATCCGCAGTGGATTATAAAACAGTGGGCTGTAACAACTCTCCTACGCAGGAGCAACAAACACACTTTAAGGCTTTGCCTCTTCTGGTTGTTATTTGTAAACTTGACCACAGAAGAAGAGAGACAGCATCTCCACTGAACGTCACACACAAACATTTAAACTGATCAGATTCATTTAGATAAAACAGTTTGATGTGTTTGTGTCAGATCTGCTGATGATCAAACTTCACAGGTCACATTAGTTCAAACATTTGATCTGAATGTCAAACTTGTTTTCACACATTCATGATCTTCTGTGTAAAGACACACCCAACAGTTGGACTGTGACACTGCAAAACAAATATGTGAAACGACACACCTTCATGGAGTCAACACCATGATGAAGAGGTAAATCTGATCTGAGAGCTGATTCAAACTGTGTTTAGTCCAGATGGTCCACAGTGAGGATGAGGAGGAGACTGAAGTGATGAAGAGGGTTACCTGCATGATTTTAGGATGTGAATCAGAAGTGTGTGAACACACAACTTTGAGCAAGAAACACACACAGAGCTTGCTGTCTGTGAACAAGTCAAAGTGTGTGTGTGAAGAGCCAGAGAGAACTTGTTAAACAGGAACTAAAATGGAAAACCACAAGGTGTGTCTTTGACTCTCCTCATCAGCTCTGAGTTCATGGTTGAATTGTTTTCCTCCACATGGAATTGAAACATCATTTACAGGCTGAAACTTGCAGCTCAGAGAGAAGAGGGTTTAGGTTAGTTTATTGGTTTATTTGAACAGGGACAGTGCACACTGATGAACATTGCTGTAAATGCGCCAGAATTAGCCACAAGGCTACTTTTCATCTGCAGTCCCCGGACAGATGTTACTAAAGTCACCCTAAAACCAGAATACACCATACAAGCAGTTAAACAGTTTTTAAAAAGTAAAGAGTGCTAGCAAAAAATGCATGTTAGTAACAGAAAATCAAAAGACATGCATAAAGTATAAAATACATAATTAGACATAAGATAAAACCAAAGGCAAATAAAACATGTCTGCAGAAGCATGATGGCAGTTCAGCCTAGATAAGAAATGAGCTCTCTAGCGCCCCCATTTTGTTTGATGGGGTCAATAATGGAGGGGTCCCCTCAGATTATGTGTGGTCATATGCCTACAAAGTTGCGTGGTGATGGGTGAAACCCTTGAGATGTTATACACCTTTATGTGATGAGCCACGCCCTCCGCAATATTTTCCAACTTTTGCCAAGAGGGAACTTTAGATATTGGTCCCTAGATTATGTTCACCCAGTTTCATGCAGATCGCTCAAACTTTTCAAAAAAATTCAAAATGGTGGAAAATCTATATAAGCAGAAGTTATGGGTTCTTGGGGTAAATGTGTTCCTCATGAGGAGAGGCATCTCTGTGCAAAGTTTCATGTCTCTACGTCATACGGGGCATGAGATATGCCCATTCAAAGTTTGACATTTCAATGGGTTGCTATAGCGCCCCCCTTTGGCCAATTGGGTACTATTGGGTAATATAGGTACTTGTATTCAGGCACAACCTGTAACCTCTCGCCCGAGACAAAAACAGCTGGTTCTGCGCTAGAGTTCTTCGATCTACTGAAAAACATGCAAACTGTTTTCGATACATTAAGCTGTAAACAGCATTGCTCTAACTATGCTGTCACATGTACTATGGTGTCTGATAGCTGCTTGGCAACTTGGGTCATGCTGCTGCCATGCACATAAATGACCGTATGATCTGCATATATAGATGGGAAGTCATAATGAGAAAAGCCATGGGCCCAGGATAGTTACATATTTGCCTTCACATCTGGAGTTAAACCAGTGTAACCATGGAGATACAGGCTGAGACCTGCAGAGTGTTTATCAGAGAAGAGGTGGAGTCTGTACTGCTGCACACAGAGACACACCTGGAGTTTTGCAAACAACACCTCAGAGCAGGAACTCATAAACCAGGAAATAAAACTGAAAACCACAGCACGCGTCCTTGTTACAGTAAACAGACAATCTTCTGATCAGCTCAGAGTTCATGGTGAAATATTTGACTTCACATTTGGAATTTAAAAGTCTTATATTGTGTCACAGGCTGAATTCTGCAGAGTGTTTATCAGAGGGAGGAGGAGCCTGAACTGCTGCAGAGACAGACTGTAAAGATCACTTTAGCCCCGTTTCCACCGAGCAGTGCGGTTCAGTTCAGTTCATTGTTTCTGTCTCCACAGTGAAAAGTTGTGGATGGTACCAACAGAAGCGTTCCTTAGCGTCCCCATGTTTGGTCCCCCCTCTGTTGGGGTACCTAGCACACAGATCTGGTACTAAAAGGTGGAGCTAGAAACCCTGCAGTCTGATTGGTCAGTAGAGGACGCTCACTCTGGTTTTATGTAACCTCTGTTCATACATCAGTAAACTACAACTATAAAATGAAAGAGAAAAAAATAACTTCATTCACTGCTCTTAATGTTGAGTCTAGCTGTGAGTCAGATCTGCACTTTGTCTGCTCAGTTTTCCCCAAAACTTCCCTCTGACTGTCATTCAGTTCACTTTTGTTTGAGCAGCTTCAGTTTCATCAACATAATGATTATAACAGAAACAGAAAGCTTCTGTGAAAAAACCTGACTGACAGGAACAGGTCACTGTGGGTCATTTACTCTGCACATGAGTCATTTCTTCTCATGGCTCTGTGTGTTTCTGCTCCATCACATGTCAGAGGGAACATGTGACTGCACCACATTATGAAGGAGTCACTTTGGTCTCTGGCTCATTGTGACCAACATTTCTCACTCATTTCACTGTTTTTACAAACCAAACAATCAGTCCATTAATGGAGGAAATAATCAGCACATTCATACACAATGAACATGATCACTGGTTGATGATAAAACCTGCAACTGCAGGTCATGAGACAAAGACGAAAGTCCAAAGTCATGATTTGTCACGCTGATTCTTATTTACACAACAAACTGCCCTGACTGGTTACAAAACATCAGCAGTGACCTCTAAAACATGTTGATATGATAAACAGTAAAATGCTGAGGTCAGTTTCCACCTTCAGAGACGATAAACACCAACGAAGAAGAAGAGACATGAAGCTGAAGTCTGACTGAGACACTTTGATTGGAGCATCCTGATCCAGCAGTTATTGATCAGGAGAAACCTGATCAGAGACACACACAAGATGAGACTCTTGTCAGGAGACAATCTCTGGTCCTTTTCACACAGAGGTGGCGCTATGGAGCCGAGACCAAGTCTTTACACCTCCTTTACATTTTACAGAACCAAACGACGACAGCATCACATCACTCCAGTGTGAGATTTTACACATCATGCTGACGCAGAATCAAAAGAGGCATGACCTGTAACACAACAGCATTGGCCTCCAGTGTGACATATAACATATGTGTCTTTATAAACAACAACAATGACATCACATGTCAATAACAATCAAGTTAGCATCCCTGTTGTATGGCAGCTGACCTCGTCCTCTGCTCGGAGGGTAAGGAGCTCCTGGACCACACTGTTTTCACCATTTGTGGACATTTTCAGCTGCTGTTCCTCTTTGAGTTAGCTGCTAACTGCTAGTAGCTGCTTTTAAATCTCCTATGTTGGGTTGCACACGTAACAAGTCTTTGAGACGCCACAGCCGTCCTGCCCGTGGTCTCATCCTGCGTCTCTCCCGTTTATACAGACGTCGCCGGCTTAAAGACGAGACAACTCCGTCCCTCCACAATGTGACTGTACCTTTAATACACAATGACGAAGCAGAATAACTGTGTGAAAGTCCCGTCTTGAAGAGGCAGTGTAACAAAGAGGCTTCTGACAGTAACATGAAGGTTTTTAGTTTCATCAGTGATTTAAAAGAAGTCAGAACATCAGTGTGTGTAGCTCACAGTGATGATGATGATGATGATGATGATGGAGGAGTCTACATGCAGCTGCTGTGTGACAGAGCTCTGAGACCATCAGTGGAATATAAAGTGCGTGCAGCTGCACTCAGATGAACAACAGGAAACAGCTGCTGTGTTAATGGACATCAGACGCAGCAGCTGATGTCATTAATAATGAATCAGTCATTTAATAATTCAGGATGGTTCTCAGTGTTGGACTCTGTCGGGTTCTCCAGTTCTAGTTGGGACTTTGAATCATCTTTTTCTTGTTCTGGAAATTCGTCACAGTGGAACATTTTATTTTAAAGTGATGACTGTTACACTGTGGGCAGAATGACACAGAGGGGTTTTGTGTGTGATGTGATTCAAAATGAGATGATGGGGGATGTGTTGCAAAACCACATATAAATATAAATATATCATTTATATATAATATAAATGAGGGCTTACACGGGAGATCAGTTTAATCGCCTTTATTCAGGTCCACGCAAGGTTTGGGGCAGGGAAGGTTTCTGATTGGATAGGGGGCGGGGCAGATGTTGCTGTGCACGCTGTGCACGCTGTGCACACTGTATACATCATCGCGCCAGAAGGGCAAGGAAACGAGCATGCGCAGAAAGAACGGAATGGCTGGAATCGGGTAGGAGGTGCAAGACAGAAAAATTCTTCCTTTCGGGTTCTGAAAAGGAATATTCCACCCCTGTGCACCCAATTAGATTTTCTTTCAGGTTGGTTGTTTTCATTCGGGTTGAGGTGTTTGCAAAATGATTACATGGCTCCATGTAAATGCACTGATTGACCAACATCCTAAAAAAGGGTTGAGTTCCAAAAAAAGAAAGGAAGCAAAGGGGGAAGAATGCAAAGTTACTTTGTAAAAAAAACAAAAAACAAAACAAAAAGACGCGTGAGCGAGACATGGATCAAGAGATGAAGGGCGGGGGGCCACAGAGACTGTTTACGTAGAGTACCGAGATCTTTATGCTACAGCACCGTGTTCAAGTGCACTTTTTCGCTAAGACACAGGTGATACCGGCGACGCAACAGTCAGCCTCCATCACCACTGGTGATGGATGCTGGTGGATTAGGTCTGAGTGAAAATGCAGCGTACTACTGGTGCACTCAAAACGGTCCGAAAGTTGAGTGTGGGTTGACGGACACTTCTCACCCTTAACGTTCACCATCTTTGTGATGTAGCAAACTTCTCAACCTTTGACATGGCGGCAGGAGACAACAGGGAGCTTGGTATTTCTACATGTTGTTAGCACCAAAACTGTTGTCGAATAGAAGCCGTCAGTAATGTTTGTTGAGTCTCTAATGATTTGGTACCACCAACAACAATGTGAGTGCTAACGTTAGCATGCTTGCTCCTAGCTATGCTGGCACATTTTAATCAGCATTGATGTTGTGGTGTAAGTTTGGTTTATGTGTGGGTGAAGGTAGCGGTCGGATGTTGGTGATAATGCTCCGACCTCTCTTTGCAATTCACTGTTTAGAAAGAAGACAAAGAAAAAGGTTAAAAACAGCAGTGTGTGATTTGTGACAACACTACCCTGTTGATATTAGTGCACCACACGTGTGTAGTGCACATAGTGTACTACACTGAAGTGTACTAATAGAAGTATGGGATTCAAGTCAAAGACACCACTGTTCATGAGAGATCAAACCTTTATTAATCAATAATAACAATAAAACAAAGACAGTTTATGAACTAAAATGTGTTGACGGATACAGCATACAGAGACGAGTTGTGATCTGGGAGCTCCTTGTTGCTAACAAAGACCTTAAAGATGATAATTATAGGAGCTCCCTGTTTTTAAAGCTCAACTGTCTGTGAGGATAATGAAAGACTGCGCTGGACTGTGATCAAGTTCTCTTTGTGTGTCTTGCATCTTGGCGGTTACCTGGAGCACAGGTGTGTCTTTATTTCTGCTCCAGGTAAGATTATACTTGCATCAACAGGCTCAACGGCTCTTTTCTGTTTCACAACTTTAGATTCACTTCTGCAAAAACGAAACTTACCGCACATGAATCCTATTCACATTCTGAATCTACATTTAAGGGTGAAAGGCCAGCATGGGGGGCGATATTATAAAGCAAACTGTTTTGAGTGTTGAGCAACTGTTACTGAGCACATCTGGTGTTTGTTTGTAAAATGTCACTTTTGGAAACACAGCATATTTTACAAAATGTTTGCTGACTCTTAATGTGAATCAAATCCAACCATAGGCGTTGCTGTAACACTTTTCTTTGCATTTTCTTGAGAGCAGTGTTGCCAAATTTAAGTAACCATATAATATGCTCTTAATTCCTGGAGTACCTGTATCCAGATAGGTTCACGGCCAGAAATTGTCCATAATTAATCACTTCTTGGTGTTATCCAAGCAAGAAAATAATGGGAACCAAAGGTCTTGAAAAATAAAACCAGTGATGATTTTTTTTTAGAGTTAAATCTCTCTAAAGGTAAGAGCTGTGATATTTGGTGAATATTTTTAAAGGAAATCAGGCTTATCATTACATCAATAAATACACTGGTTTAAACCAAGTTATATTTCCAAACGTGATTTAGTGACGGAATTAATTCCAGAAAGTTGTCAGCAGATCACATTCCCATCACGGGTGCATAGATTCTCCAGCTTTAGTTTTGTATCCAAAATAAAAATTTGTTCCCTTGATTTTATTACTTGTAAATGAGCAATGTATTCTTTCATAAATGTTTAGATGGGTGTTTCCATCTAGAACATCCCTAAATATTTTTACCCATTATTTAATAAAGTTGGAATGAATGTATTCTCATGATAATCTGATGCTCAGTGTTGTTTTAAATGAACTTTATTGGTTTTTACACACAAATTTACAACAGTGTTAAACATATATATATAAATAACTATTTCAAAGAACAAAGGAGTCACTGAGGGACTGAGGTTGGGCCTGAGTGTCTGACGCTCTTAACAAAGAATCCCCTGAGATTTATAAAATAAGTTTAACTTTTTATTAACAATAAAAGATGATCAACACCTAATCAAAGTAATCACAGTAATCAAAGAAAAATAGCGTCAACAAAAAAATATGGCGACCCAGCTCACCCCCGCTCCAGGCATGAAAATGGGTCAGGGGGTGAAAAAGGTGAGATACGGGGCATCGGTGGCTTAGTGGTAGAGCAGGCGCCCCATGTACAAGGCTGTTGCCACAGCGGCCCGGGTTCGACTCCAGCCTGTGGCCCTTTGCTGCATGTCATTCCCTCTCTCTCTCCCCCTTTCACACTTAACTGTCCTGTCCATTAAAGGCAAAAAATGCCCTAAAAAATATCTTTAAAAAAGAAAAAAGTGACATACGGCACCTGCTCTGGGGTCCTGGGGTTATGCTCCTCGATTGTTTTTTTGGTGGAAAAATGAGCTTCCAAATGCTCATATCTGATTTCTTTTAGATTTACTCAAGTGGTGGTCACATGCATAATTACAAGCCTGCACAAAAACAAAAGTATGAGTGTATAACTAAGTGCAAATAAAGTATCTTTACATGTTCACATATGTTGTACAAGAGATGAGACCAGGGGCGGATTGGGACACAAATTCAGCCGGGGACATTCAGGCGCACTGGCCCACACCCTTCTACCTATAATCCTCTATATGCTTGTACACACGACACAAACGCTGTCCTCAGAATCAACTGCATAAGAAAATCAGCAGTTATTGTTTAATTCCAGACTATAAAACAAGTGCAATAATGAATTGGCTACAAATGGCTCTGTGCTTATTATTTAACTTAAAATAAGAGCATATGACTCTCTCCTAACGCATCTCATTTTATGCACAATGTAACTGCCTGTCTGCCCTGCTCGTGTATTACATAAGCCCAATTTATTATATCTCCATGGCTCACAGCCATTAGCTAAGGAGGTATAAATTGGGCAATAGGCCCTATAGTCAACTTTTAGTCAAAAATCCCACTTAATACTACTAAAAAGGTTTTCCTTTTCCTTTTTCCGGCCCACTTGGTGACCGGCCACTCTGCCATTGGACAAGACTGACAACTTCTCTCATGAAATGCCTGCGCGCATATGTTCGCTACGTCTTTTTTCACAGACCCCTCCCCCCCAAAAAATAGTTTCTCATCGGATCTACACAATTCACGTAGGTCACCTATTTTGTATTCAAAACAGTGAATTTCGCTGAAAGGTGAGAGATTTTCATGCCTGCCTCTCTCTCTCTCTCCCCCATAATGACAAGTGAACAGGTGAATATAGTAACTTGATATCCCCGCCCACATGCATGTGACCCGCTATCCCCCTACTCAATATGACCACATAATAAATTATATCATAACCAAAACAAAGAAGACCAAAGAGTAACAATCAATAACCCTTCCCCTTATTACTAATAGAGAAACACATCAATATATTCCTGGCTCCTACGTACATAAAAAACAACATGTAACAGTAGCACGGTATCTACATGTAACAATGTTTCACGCTGTTACTGTCTGTGTGATCAGTGTGAGTCTCAAAGCTGCCAGTAAATATCACTCATCATGGTCTGTCATGCATCAGTACTAAAGCCAGGGCTGCAAGTAACATTTACTGTTTTTACTGTATGAATGACATGTTTGTGTACTTTTAAAAACTCAGTGTGGGGAGGCCATGAGGGTAGACATCTGAACTGAATCACATTTAGTCTGACCCTCCACTGGTACCGGTTTGTCATGGGAGACCCTAACAGGAGCTCAGTGCTCCAACATCTCCATCCAGAATCATCAGGCGCATAAGCCCCTCCACCACGACAAGGTAGTGATTCACGGAAGGGAGAAATTATCAGTTTAAACAGACCATCATGGTGAGAAGTCTCAAACAGCAGAGTGACACATGAGCTCAGACCCTCAGACAGACAGTAAATCACATTAAATATATAAGACACATCAGAGAACAGTCAGGTTTTAAGAGGTTTGTAACATGTCACATCATCCACCACTTCATCAGCAGCAGACCGTTCTGATCTTTGGTCTGTACGTCTTTTATATCTCCAGACAACAAACACTGCAGCAGCTACAAGAAGCACTGTAACAACTCCTGTTGCCAGTCCAACATATAGATGAGGGAAGTTTCCATTTACGGGGTGTTCACTCTCTGTGTTTCCACCCATGTAGTTTTCCTTCTCTGCACCTGCAGATTAAATAAATCAGAGTCAGTAAATGTGTGATTAGTTGAACAGCCTTCATTTGTCTTGTGTATTTCTGATGTTTGACTCTCAGGAATAAACTGCAGCTCCAACCTGATACACAGACACACACACTGAGCTCCACACACTCACCTCTAACCTCCAGGTCGATGACTGTGATTGGATCAGTCTTAATGATGGCTCTCTTTGTACGTCTTGATCCACCTGCTACAACTCGACACTCGTATCTTCCAGCGTCGCTGCTGGTCACATTCTTCAGAGTTAAAGACACGTCTCCGTCCTTCAGCTCTCTGTCCTCCAGCTCCACCCTGCCTGTAAAGGATGGATGCTGTCGCTTTATTTCTAAGCGTCCATCTCTGTAAAAGAGGATGTACTGTGGCTCCAGGTCAGGTCTGGTCCACTCTACAGCTCTGATGGAGACATCACCAGCCTCACATCTCAGAGTGACGTCATCTCCAGGGTGCACTGTCACATGTTGGTCTGAAAAACAATAATAACCATCCAGAGTCAAAAAGACTCTACAGAGAGAATAAACAGAAAGCCTGATATTATACCTGATATATAGAAAAACATTTATTCTTAAGTACTTCTGTTATTATACACATATGACTATTGTCACACATGTATACTGCCAGATATTAATACATACTTTCAACATATTGTACCACAGTAGCCAGAACTATCACTATAATATTATTACTTTCATTAATGTTGTTGTAAGCTACTGTCATTACCGTCGGTCCTGCATCTCTCTCTGTCTCTCTCTCTCTCTCTCTGTTTCATTGTGTCATAAGGATTACTGTTAATTTATCATGTTGATCTGTTCAGTACAACATCTATTGCACGTCCGTCTTTTATCAATTTCAATTTTATTTATTTCTCAAGGGGGACAGTGTACATTAATGAACATTTTCATAGAAATAAAAACGTAAATACACCCAATTGCAGCCAAGGGCTGATTTCCATTGCTAGTCCCCCCGCCAGAAGGTGCAGGCAAAAGTTCCCAAAAAAGTTAAAACATTAACCATAACATAGATGAAGCAATTACAATAAATAAAAAAGCTCCTCTCCTCCCAAAAAGACACCAGAATGTGTGAGATCCATCATTTTTTTTTGAGAAGTACATGCAGTCTTTTTTGTGTTTAACAGCAAACATAATTTCTTGAGCCATTCATGAATGTGAGTCAATTCCATTGTAAGTGTATGAACAGCCTCTTGAGCGGTTTTTGCTTAAGTAAATATAACTGCAACACTAAGCAACATCTTTACATTATGGGATGCCATTTTTACTGTTGTCACATTTAAAAGGAGTCCGCAATGTGTTGCTGCTAAACATGTCTTCACTGTTAAGGCATTTATTTGTTTGTTGTTGTTTAATTCAACCAATCACATCACTGCACAGCCCAGTGCAAACAGAGCATTCGTCAGGGGACTTCCAGTTCGGTATGATAGAGTAGAGACACGTTGAATCTCGCTCCCGCAACTTTTAAGTGCTTAACTTTCTGTCTGTTATCTCACTTTTACTTGCAACTAGTGAAAGAGAAAAAAAAATGCTACAACATAGTATGGCGATATTTTGTGTGGTGACATTATATCGACACACAGACGCCAAGTATTGATCTTCTATTGTATACATCATTCATTTTTGCAAATACACATTTTAATACAACTTTTAGTAGTAGAATAATAAAATCAGTTGCCGTTTTGGGCCACTAGATGGTGCTGATGTTTTTTTCCTAGTAAGATCAGCAGAGGTCTCAGTCAGTGGCATTTGGTAGAAAGTTCATCAAAACAAAGATGGAGGGGGCGTCAGCAGAGTAGTGGATAGTGCCGGCGCCCCATATAAAAGGTGATATCTTGCTGCAGTTGTAGCGGGGATCAACTCCGACTCACAAACATTTGCTGCATGTCATCCCCCCACTCTCTCTTACTCCCCCATTTCACTCTATCCTGTGAATTAAAGGCAAACGCCACCACAATGTCATATGAGAATAAAATACTGTGGGAATACTAATAATACATGAGGGCTCACCTCACACTCCACCACCAAGAGATAGCGTTAGCCGCTGACGGCCAAGCTAACGCTAAACCTGCTCTGCTGAAAAATCAACCAACACTGGAGACACTTAGCTCGATGTAACTACCATCAACTGTGAGAGAGCGAAGAAAAGAACACAGTCCATCACCTACTCCATGTGCAAAGATCTGCGTCCATACAGCGCTGTTGAAAACCAAGGCTGTTGATACATGCTAAAAACACGTGAACCCAGGTATGGACTTCAAGGTCAGTGGAGTCATAACTGTAACTTAGGGTGGGGCGGGGAAATTTGATTCTTAGATGCATCGCAATGCAGACGTGGACGATTTGGCATCGATTCAAGTCATTAACTGAATATGTAAATGCTAAACTTGTACTAATTCATCTTCACAAAAGACTGCGGCTGCAAGCTTGTTTGAATTTAATGTCTAATGAACATGAAGTATATTGTGAATATTAATTTACAAACGCCATCACCCAGAGATTAACATTATTGAGAGGAACAGCGATCACCGTGTTCTGGGTCTGCCCAGGGGCCTCCTACCAGTGGGACGTGCCTGGGACACCTCTAATGGGAGGCGCTCAGAAGGATCCTGATCAGATGTTGAACCACCTCAACTTTCAAGGCAAAGGAGCAGAACCACATCATATGTAAAAAGCAGAGATGTGGTTCTGAGGTTCCCCTTCTACTGGGGGGAGGAAGGCATCACAGACTTTACGCAATGATAGTAAATACATCACACTACATACAACAGAAGTCAGGGAGAGCTCAGTCTGCAGGTCCAGAGGGTGGACATTCGGATTCAGCCTCCAACTTAACAACAGTTTGTTATCACCGCCTCCTGCTGCAGCCGCCTGCTCTCGTCCACTTTCCAGGCGAGGTGCAGTTCATCTCTAACAAGCCTACTGATGAGAGTAGATGACATGATCCTCGCACTTAACTAATCACTCACTCTCAAACTCTCCCCTTTCTCACACACATTAGCCTACACTGGCGATCTTGCTCCCTCGTTTTACAACATGAAAAAAAGCACAAATTTGCGGGTCGCACACGAGTAAGTAGTTGTAAAAAATACTCGCACCGACTCCAAAAGTGGTCTAATGGTAACACTGGGTGATGCTTATAACTGACCAGAGAACCAAGCTGGAAGAGGAACACCTGGTGCAGACTCTCAATAAGTGCTCCTGCCCTTAAAGCATACAGACAGGCTTTACAATGTTTTTTTAGAGCAAGGAAAATTACATGTTTAAGGAGGAAATGCCAAGTGTGTAAAAGGAGAGCTACTCTGGACCAACAGCAGAGTTTAACTGTTTGATCTCTTGAATATATTTTGAGAATATGAAATGTATCTTATTATGTTTATAGCTATCTATTTTTAAATAGATCTTTGTTTCAACATGTGCATCAAAAAGCAGAGTCAAAGTCTGTGTTTTGTTCTTTAATATATGTTGGAACTGGAAATTTTATGTAAATTTGGAAACAGTTATATGTTTGAAAATAGTTATTTGCATTAACATGTAGATAGGTATTTATTTTGAGTAGTCCTTCTTTTTCAATAGATACTCATAAAACTTTAAACAGCATTGACCACACCCATCACAGCATCACGGAAATCCTCACCACTATAATCCTTTCTATGTGCTCTAAACACGATCACACATTCTAGCTCAAAAACCTCTCATAACTACATGAATCTGCATAACAAAAGCTCATATTTACCACAAGCTGCATGATGCAGGAGGAACAACAGGAGCACGAACACAGCCATGAGAGCTGGCAGGATGTTTGTCTGCTGCTGATCTTAGTCACGTAATCTGAGCGCTGATCTGCTGTGGGTAGAAACTGCCAGACAGGATGCCTTTGTCTGTGATGTACTAAAGCATTAATGTGTGGGCGGGAGGATCATGCACTCAGGGCAGTGTCCACCAGTAAAAAGGAACCTTACGTCAGGGGCTCAGGACTCTGAAGTATACACAGTGAAAAACACTCCCACTTGAAAACCAGCTCTCTGTGGAGTCAGACCTTGAATTCAAGGACAGCCTTGAATTCATGTAGTCAGTGCAGCCACATAAGGTTAAATTAAATAACATATTACGTTGTGAAATACACAAACATAAACTATATAACTGTTACATCATAATAAATACTACAACGACCCTGTAATAAATTCATGATGGATTCACTTCCAGGCTGTGGACTGTATGGACCACTGGTCAACAGCGCCCTCTGCTGGACTCAGTCCGCTGTGCACTACACCAGCTGTCCACACTGCGCATGTGCAACTTACAGCAGATTATGGATGTTAGGTGGATATTAAGAGCACTGAGACTAGTGATGGCGAGATGAAGCCTCATGAAGCATGAAGCTTTCCAGCAAATTGGTTCAGAAAAGGCTTCATTTCTCGAGGCTTTATGTGCACACGAACCATGTAATCTGTGATACACGGTATTTTGTGTCAGTAATGGCTGTTGGGAATGACTATTAATAATAATAATAAAATATAATAACAATATATGACCATATAGCTTTCTTTTTCATCAATATAGTGTATTTTCTAGTGAGTATATTATGACTACACTGTATCAAATACATGTATAATAAACTGTTATTGTTTTGTGAATGCATCCTATGTGTATATTTGGCCAAACATTGTATTGTGATGTAGTGTCATATAATATAATAATAGCAGGAGGGGTAATATTAGTGTTCTGTGTCACTTCTGTTAAAACCTCACACCAAGATCTGAACTGCTTCCCGAACCAGTCACGTGGTACAGCCAGGCAGCGAGGTTTCGGATGTCATCAACGAAGTCACTCGTCTGAAATGATACAAGCCTCGATACACGCATCTATGGCAAGCCATTTTAACATTTAATAGCTAGGCTGGATATATATTGCAGATATCCGTAATTCAATTCTTTTTCAAAAATAACATTTCAGATATCCACAACGTCATCCTTCCTATACACAGTTGTCATTTCAGATATCTACATTAGAGGGTGACACAGGAGTGGATTTTCAGTCCTGTCCCATCCCACTCCCACAAAAGAAAATCCCATCCCAATCCCACAGGAATGACTCCTGTCCCATCCCACTCCCATGTTGCGTTACCGTTACAGTAAAAAATAAAAAAAATACAGTACATGGATCACACAGTGCCTACCTTAGTTGAATATAAACCCAAATATGACATCTAATGTTGTGTTTTGATGTTTATTGCCTAATTATTTTAACATTCACTCCACCTTGATGCTGTTCAGAATGACAAACACATTTGATTTCTGATGTGGTCAGACAACACGTCATAAGAACCAGTTCTGAGAAAGAAAAATGTAGTTAAAGTATTGCAGTAAAAGTAGTGTTTGGTTGCTCTGACTGTTATTATTATATGACATCATTAGATTATTAATACTGAAGCATCAGTGTTAGAGCAGCATGTTACTGTTGTAGCTGCTGGAGGTGGAGCTAGTTTCAAGTACTTTATTAAACACTTGACTATTGTTATTATGATGATTCCCAGTCCCGCCCACTCCTGCTGACTTTTTTTCCCCATTCTGCCCCAGACACGTGCCGAATAGTGAAACTGATTCCCATCCCGTGGGAATCCAGAAAAAATAGGTTTGTTCGAGATGAGTCAGGCCTGCGCAGATTCAATCACCGGCGATCGGTGCACAATGCATGCCGGTTAGTTTTGTGTCCAACTTCATCCCGACTTGCTCTGACGTATTGCAAAAGTGGACGGCGATAAAACCGCGAGAGCGAGGCGGCTGCAGTTTTTAGAGCCAGGCGCTGCAGTTGCTCTCCACCAACTGCACCGCCTGGCTCTCACCTGATCTAACAGCTGATTGGTTCAGATGTCGACTCAACAATATGACGTTTTAGATAAACTATTCATTTTTGTTGAATTTCAGAGATCTAGATTTGTTGTGTCTGATTTGAAAGTTTATTCTGTGACAGAAAACATGTTGTGTGACTGACGGTGAAGGTTAGTGATCAGAGCCTGAATACATTCATCATAAACTATACAGAGTCTACTGTATATTAACACTGGACTGTTTCATTATTGAAGTATTTAACATCACACAGACTGAATACATTCATCATAAACTATACAGAGTCTACTGTATATTAACACTGGACTGTTTGATTATTGATATAGCCTATTTAGCTTGTTGTCTTGTATCAAATATGAAGCTCAGTGTATTCAGCCTGTGTAGCTGAGGGGACAGGTCAAACTGATATGATGCTGATTTACAGCAGAGTTCATGAACCATCAACAGAAACTACAGTTTAATAAATTAATCTATCATAATTAAAACAACTGGAGACTGAGAACAAACTGATATATGGGTCTGATCACTTTTTAATACATTAACATCATATCTGACAGGATGTGTGTGTCTGTGACTTCCTGTACGGACTGAAGGCTGCAGGAAACTGTCAGACTTCACCGCAACTTTTTGTCACCGCCTCCTGCTGCAGCTGTGATCTCGTCTACTCTCCAGGCGAGGTGCAGTTCATCTCAAATGAGCCTACTGTCAGCCTCTAATCCACAACTACATTTTTACTAGGACAAATGACATCACTTTTCTTGTGTATGGGGTTTCTCATTACCAATAGTCATAATTAAGTTGCAGATATCTACATCTGAATTACGACTATCCCTAATCCCAGTTAGAGATATCTACAACATATTTTCGACTAGTCGTGATTGCAGTTCAAGATATCTTCAAGCCCCCTTGATTCAAGATATCTAAAAATACAATTAAGATATCTTGAATTGAGTTTTCCCTAGTCAGAATAACACTAGATATCTTGAAATGGAATTATGACCAGTCAGAATGATGTTGTAGATATCTTAAATGACAATTCTTACTAGTCACGATGTAATCACGACTAAAATTAAATTGTTGATATCTATAATGCAGTTTATCCCGGATAGTCAAGCGTAGCCATTAAATGTTAAAAGGGCTTGCCATGCGCATCGCGGAAACACTTCCTGGATTACTCGACACACGCTTCGAAGCATCGGCACAGCACGTAACACCACTAACGTTACCTGAGAGCTCTCATAAGTAAACGTGTCATAAAACAAACATGGCGGAAACGAAGTAATGTTACAGATGACTTCAACGCAACGTTCATAATTCCGAAAAGTTGCTGCGTTGTTCACCGCACCGCAAACAATTAAAAAACAGAATTGTGACTTACTTTGCTCCCGGATAGAGTGTCAAACCAAAGTAACCTGCTGACTGCGTGAAGCATGGCGCACCGTTAGCTAGTAGACACCGTTAGCTAGTAGCCACCGTTAGCTTGTAGCCACCGTTAGCTAGTGGCCACCGTTAGCTTGTAGCCACCGTTAGCTAGCTGAGAGTGCAGACCTGACAGTTCCATAAACAGACACAAATAACCTACAGACACTCCGTGAAGACAACTTACCACTCAGTGGACACACAGAACTTCAAGAGGTCCATCAGGAAGATCTGTGAGCTCCAAAGTCTCTCTGTGCGGTACGAGTCCAGAACTTTCTACCGATGAGCGGTTACCGGAGTTAAGTAATGAGCTGCACCTGTGACTTACTAAGTTACGGACTGACCAGTCTGCCTACAGAGCATGGATACCAAGAGGCGAAGCTCAATAGAGCGCCCCATAGCAACAGACTCGCCCATGGTTTCATCCTACCGCCGCCATTTTGGACTGTCAGCAGACCGCAGCAGACCCGCTTGCATACAAAAACACACAGACAAACTGAAGTATATCGCTATTAATTATGCTTACAATGCTACTCACCTCGTGATAGCTTGGTCACAGCTGCTTTTTCACGTTTTTGTAAAGCAAAATATAGACTTTAAAAACAACACAAAACGAAGAAAAACGGCCTAGATGGCATCTCTACATATTACATCCACTTATGAGAAGATTAACTTAATTACTCCTTCAAAATCACCCCATAAGCCAATCTACCAAAAAATAAAAATAAAAAAATCAATATTTTAACTAGAAGCACATTAATGGCGACGTCACATAGTCAGGAATAAAGATTTATTTACAGTGTTATCTTCCCTCCAAAACTGGCATATTAAATTGATATTAAAACACTTTAAAACTTACACCTCAGGAGTTCTTACCTGTCGGGATCCTTCGGGAAACGGTGGAAGGCCAGGTGCGGGGTGTTCCACTGATAGTTGTTGCAGTTAATTGCACTACACTGTTTTCTTTTACTTTTTTCCTCCTCTCTCCGTGACATCTTGCATGTTGTCTGGGCGCAACAGTCCAAGCTCAACAGTCCAAAATGGCGGCAGCGCCTCTAGTGGCTGTTGGCAGAAATTCAACGGAGCTTCGCCTCTTGGTATCCATGCTCTTTGGTCTCATGTCTCTCAATCAGCAACCCTCGCTCCTAACTCCTAACTCCTGACTCCTTGCATGTTTTCCTAAGTGGGGACTAAACAGTTAGATAAGGTGGCTAGGTAAGGTTAGCAGTCATTTTAAGGGACTTGGACGTACCCCTGGAGTCATGAAACAAGAGGCTGCAGACATACCCCTCCGGACACGTCCCCAGCGTTTCACAGCAGAGAGAAGTGCTTGTTAGGGACCGAGCCTAGAGGCAGAGGACTGCTCAAGTTTTTCCATGATTTTGAGAGCTAATTTTATATACTTTTATATACGATTTTTTTAATCTTTCAAATTTGGTTCAGTGATTAATGACACATATTTCTGTAATGTGACAAACTTATAACAGACATTTTTTGCTGCTTTACACAGACTTTAACAAACGTAACGTTACAAAATTCAGCTCCAGCACAACTCACAAGGTTCACTGACAAAACAACTGTCAATAATCCACTTTGTGAATCACTTTATAAGTATCGAGATGCAACCCTTCCTATTACCCTTCCCCGTTTACCCTTATGTCTATTTATTATTGTGTGTTGTTGCTGTCTTGTTTTAAGTATGTTTTTCTTTTATCATTCTTGTCTCCTTTAATGACCACATGGGGCCTGCAATTTTAATCTCATTGTACCATGTATAATGACAATGAAGGCATTCATTCATTCATTGATTCATTCAGTACGGCAAGGTTGCCGTCACAGGCTGCTCACCTGTGCAGTGTGTTCTGGGCC